TGAAGGGATGGGCTTCACGGTCACACGTGCTTCCGTTGTCGTGCGAACCGGCGCTACAGTGACAGGTGCTGACGTAGTCGTAGCAACCGGTTTCACAGTGTCAGGTGCTTCGGTTGTTAATACTTCTGTTGTCGAAGCGATCGGCCTCACGGCGGCAGATGCTTCTGTAGTTGTAGCGACAGTGGCTGGAGCTTTCGTGCTTGATTTCTTTTTCTGATCAAGTTGACCACGTGGTATATCCGAATTTCCGCCGCCTTCAGGAAGTTCATGGTCATCGGTTTTCTCTCTGCCAACTCTCTTCCTCGGTCTACCACCCGGGTGGAATGCACAATTCAATTCATCTTCGCCATTCAAACAATCGACTTGACCGTTACAAACAAATTCCTTTGAAATGCAGCGACCACTCCAAACACACGTGAAACCAGGACATTCACGTTTTGTAAAAGCGGCGGTTGTTCGAAGATCTGAATTGATCATTGTATTGATCCAGTCAATATACAAGGCGACACGTGTATAAACACCAGGTTCATTGCGTCGAGCACATCCCTCACCATGACTTACAATACCAGCAAGATAAAATTCGTTTGGATCCAAATTACTTCGGCATATTAATGGTCCTCCACTGTCGCCCTGGCATGCATCGTGGCCACCATCTTTTTCACCAGCACAAATCTCATTGCCACTGATGTCAACTGATGTCTTACAATTCTTCATTATTGGTACATTCACTTCTTCCAAATTGTCGGCTTAATACAAAAAAAAAAAAAAATGAAAAGATGAGAAACAATTCAGTAGAAAGATAATCATCCAAACTTACGACTCGATCCACCCTCGGATAATGCACCCCAGCCAACCTTCAAAAAGTCCACACATGAGTTAGAATAAATATTTCAACACCAGAAATGTTAGAAATCAAAATAATGCTTACAACAGTACAAGTGGTTCCCGGCGGTGGTCCGTCCATCCAATTCGGATCCATTTGATTGGTAACTCTTTCAGGAGATGGTAAACAAATTGGTCGTATCCATCGATTGAAATTCAATGGCTTTTCCATGCGGAACAGTGAGACATCGTTCAACATTTCTGGATGTTAAAAATGCATTATTTTTTTCATCAGTTAATTGAATGGGATGGGAAAATTATTGAAAAAAAAAAAATGAGATTACCAAATCGATCAAAACCATCATTTACAATAACAGCATCAACCTTTCGGATTTGAACCTCGGGCGCAAAACTATACCGACGAAGCAAACCAGCATGCACTTCATAGTAATGTCTACCCGCTTTCATCGCACAATGAGCAGCCGAAAGGATCTATTCAGAAGAACAGTTTTTTTTAATCAAACTTTTCAAATTTGCGGTGGATTTAAAATAATAAATTAGAAAAATTCCAAATAATAAATTACCCAAAACTCATTGAAAATCGTACCACCACAATGGAACTTTCCGTCCTTGTAAATGGCAACAATGTATGGCCAACTATGGGGTCCAGATCGGTCTCCGCCAACGATTCGTAGATATTCATCACGTTTGCGGCGCTCATTTTCATTTCGAATACGAAGATTCGGTAGATTCGACAACGGTTTTTTAATGCTACCACATTTCATCGGTGGACACTTGACTCGAATATGAATATCTCGTCCTTTTTGAGTGGGACAAGTATCCGAAAAGCGAATCCGATTCGATAAATGTTCCCTCTCATCGTGCGAAGACAATGAAATAAATTTGCCCGGCAATAGGCCCAAATGACTTTGAACTTCTGGAAATCTGGAAAATATGCGCGTTTTTTTTTTAAATAAATGAAGTAATCTTAAGAAATGTGAACAATTTACCCGGACAGTTCACCCATTTCGGATTCGCATGCGTCTTTGGCCCAATTCAAGGAATACTCACACACAGGATACCAACGTCCTCGGTAGTTTCGATATAAAACACCTTCGGTGTTCGGCACCATAAACGACTACAACCAAAAAGCAACGAAATCAGTATGAAAAATGATTAAAATTTGTCCTCTTCACATACCGTATGCAATCCAATGTGCTTGATAAGCATTGAACAATCCTCTTCGTCCTTTCCGTTCAAACAATCTGTGAAACCATCGCTGGAAAAATTGTTTTTTTTTTTTTTGTTATTTGAACCAAATTTGAATGAAAAAGACTTTCTTACCATTTCTGATCCAAAGTGAAACACATGGCGCCCAATGCGGTTTTCGAGTGTTGATAGTCGTCAGCATTGTTGTAGCACGAATATGAGTGTTTGTTGCAGCCAAAACATCCAATTTCATCGGCACCCAAAGGACAATCCAAATATCCGTCACAAATTTTATCGGAATTCAAGCGAGACACACATGAACACGATGTTTCATCGCTGGCGTCCAAGCAATCAACCACACCGTCACACCATTTTTCATTTATAACACATTGATGCGAATTTATACATGATGTTTCACCTTCTTTGCATGTATTAAACGGACTTATGGTGTTGTTCGGCACCATTTGATTCAGAAACGATATAAATGGTTGTCCGGAACCTATTTGATAGAGATTGAGAACATTAGAATTCCAAATCGAATGTTAATATCGAAAGAAAAACACAAACTCTGTTTGGCACTTTTTAGTTTCGACGATATTTTTGTGGTATTTTGAAATTGGTGCTTCGCTGAATGTGGACAATCATCCGATTCATCGGCTGGCGATTCGGATCGGGCTTGAAGTGGCGGACTTACGAGCTGAACAAAACTACGAAAGGAGATTCAAGGTGAAAAATATATTCGGTTTGATTTGTTTTATTCACTCACCCCATACCACTCGGTGACGTGGTTGCGAATTGCTGCGTATTTGAATTAACCAAAATAACTCCTGGAAAGGTAAAAAAAAAAACTGAAATAAAATTGTCTTAACTTTTTTTTTGATCGGAAAATCTTACGATTCGCACCGCCACCTGTAACCGGTGAAATAAACTGTTGCTGCGGCGCTATGAACTGTTGTTGGGGTAAAAACATACTTTGGCCAACTGGTACGGTCTGCACTGATTGTAGATGCTGGCAATGTGGGAACATGCATACGGGAGTCGAAATTGGATTGGAACGCACAAATACTGGCCCAACAGCTATCAAATCAATTCAGACGATATCAATGAATTAATGAATTCGGGAAAAAAGTGTTCTAATTAATGCAACTAAATGTTGTTGTTCGCACCAAAAAAATAAATAATAAATATTTGAAACCAAATTTGCAATTTCTCAGCACATTCATTGAATAACGCAATTATGCAACAATAACAAATTTAAATTGGATCGTCAATCGAAAGGTCAACATACCACCTATGGGACTAAATTGTTGCTGTATTTGCTGCTGCGGTTGCAGTTTTTGCTGCGGTTGCTGCTGTTGTTGTGGTGGTGATGGGAAATTTTGATTTGTATTTGGTATTTGGTTTTGGAAATTCTGGTTATTATAAGGTTGAACGTTGTTCGTGACAAATCCGCTTGATGTGGGTCCAGGCAAATTGCCGCCTGAAGCCGATTGATCCGAGTGTGCATTTTGACTACGGATTAACTGTTCACACAACTGCATAATTTGACCATTTTGGTCTATGTATGATAAAAAAGATTAATAAAAATATTTCGGACTCAGTGTTTCGTTAAAATTTGCGATCCGACGCTAAAAGACTATCTTTCCTTGAGATTTTTTGTTTTTATAAATTGTTAAAAATTAAGCCTTCTTCTGGATTAAAACTGTCAAACACTTACCACCAACATTTAGATTTTTCAGCTGATTGATTTTCTCATTATCACGAAACGTAGCATGTGATGATTGTAAGCGACTTGGATGAAAATTCGGAGCTAACAAACGATCCGGTGCTGGTGGTCTTGGCATTTTTTGTGGTGATTTTGGTGTATCATCAACATTCCATAAATTCATTCGTTTTTTATCTAATTCTTCATGAATGCGTGGAAAATGTGTAAACGATTTCATATTATGTGGCACTTTTTCTTCTTGATTCACTTCATTAAGAGGTTCTCCAACTGGTTCCGGCCACGGCGGCAATGGTAATTCGCGCTGAACAATTTCTTGATGAACGGTTTGAAAATCTTGATCACCTTCACCGAGCGTTTTAATCTCGTGATTAATCGCTTCACTTATTTTAACCATTTCATTGAAATATTTGTCACATTCACGTTTGTCGGCACTGGACTTTTTACAGAGCTGATATTGCACTTTTAACTGTTGTAAATTTTCGGTCAATCGTTTTGTTCTTAAACCTTTTTGTTGCACGGGTATTTCGAAGTGGACGGGATCAACCGACGAAAATCGCTTTTGACGGTGTCCAAATTCACTTCTTTGGCCATCGAATTTACGCACTTGATTGACATTATTGAAGTCAACTTTTTCAATCGTCGATCTTTTAAGACGCTCTTTTGTTTCAACCATTTCAACATTGTTCAGTAAGAAAAACAGCACTAGCACAAAACAAATGCACAAACTTCCAATGATGAATAAAATTCGCTTCGTTCCTGCCGATCGAACGTTGCATATTAGCAACTGCTCGTTATCTATTTTTAAGAAAGAAACAAACAGAAATTTGAGAAGGAAAATCGTTGAAAAAGAAAAACACTTTTGAAAGACTTTAAAAATTTGGACAAAACTTTCAAAAAATCTCGAATTTAATCCAAAAATCACCAAAGAAAGGAAAAAATATTCAATTTAATAACGAAAAAAAAAAATTACCATTTGATTGAGACGCTTTCATTATTTCTGTCTCTATCACTGTTAATTTAATGAATTGGCACCGATCACCAAAGTAAATGTTAAATCGTCACTGGTTTTGAAGCAAATGTGAAGCCTATCAAGTTGCAGATTATTAATTAAACCATAATTCCTCGTATTTTTGTGCTGCATCAGCAAATGTGACTCGAAGCAAACATTTGAAAAGTAAGAAACCAAAGTAACATGACACTTTTGATTACGCGTCAATAATGCTGATTGCAAAAATGTTTGAATACACAAATCACTTTTTTTCTTTGAACAATTCCAAAGTTTATGTTCATATTGATTTGCTTGGAATTTTTAGGCCACTGATAGCCAATGCATACGTAAAGCAAAACAAGTGATCGTTTTTATTTTGAAAAGTGCACGCACTCAAAACCCAATTCGATTTTGATGCGTGTTACAGTCTTTGGACTTCTTTTTATTGCGTTGATAATGGCTTTTTTTTGGGGCAATTCATAAAGTAACCCAAAAATGCATTCCAAAAAAAGTATAAATTTCGGAAAGACAAGACAATGCGAGAAAAAATCACATCATGTGCTCAGGCATGGCATCAAATTCTTCGCCGTAAAAAGTGATTCGCAGAAGCACCGATTGCGAGTATGTACAGTACTACTCAAAAGTTTTAGAACAAAAATAAAAAAATACATTTTTTTCGATATATTACATCATTTATTAACAAAAACCTTCGTTTATTTGCTTTAATTTTTGTAATTATATAGCAACGTTAAACGTATAAAATTAATGCAAATAAACAAATGTTTGTTAATGAATGATATATAAAAAAATGTATTTTTGTATTTTGTTCTAATATTTTTGAGCAGTACTGTACGAATTGACATTTGAGTAAATTTATATGAATGAACATCGAAATAGAGCGAGCGATATCTTTTGTTCTGCATTTTTCCTTTCATAAATTCAATCGTATCCAAATGAAACCAGTAAGCTCATTAATTTAAATAAATTGTCTGCAATTGGATCGTCTGCTTTATTTTGTGTTAAATCGATCAAATTTCAAAACAATGTTTGTCTTTATTTTGTATGAAAAAAAAAAAGTTATTTTGAATATATATAAATAGTGGTATATGTGTGTTATCAAGAGTCAACAAATGACAATTTTTATTGTGTGAACGCATTCACCATTCTATTACCTTAGGTCATTGGCATATATATATATATATATATATATATAACAAACGAAATGTTTGAGAAAATCTCCAAACAAATGTTGAAAAAAAAAACTTGTCGTTACTATCTAAAAAAATCTATAAAAATTGCATATTTTCTGTTTCTAAACTGTCTTAAACTATCTAACTTGAAAAGTTAAAAAAAATCCATAATTATCACAGCTATGTTAATTATTCGGTTTAAATTGTTCGTCAATGCCAACAATTGAACTGGATCTCGTTGGCATTTCATTGCTTTCTTTTACGTTCGCATCTGGATACATCTGGTCAATTTTACGATCGGTTATTTTCTTCGAATTGTCCGCAAAATGCATTTCAATGTCCTCCAATGTGCGATTTTCAGTTTCCGGCAATATTTTGTACATCGATATCAAACCAAATACAATCATAATGCAGTTGAACAAAGCTACGCCCGGCATGGATAGCGTTGTGTCCAAACTATAGAACGTTTTTGTTGAAACGAAGCTAAGCACATAGCTCAATGCAGCAGTAAGTCCTGTGGCCATTCCACGCGTTCTTGAAATTATATAAAAATTGTAATAAAAAGTTGACATTTTGAAAAAAGTTCGAGTAACACATTGAAGGTCAAAAGAACGGGAAAAAAGGCCGATTTTTTTTATTAACTTACTTGTATGGAAACACTTCCGAAATCATTTGCCTGCAAGAAGCGAAAAAAACGAATTTTAAATGAAACTTGAAAGTGACACAAACAGTAAATGTGAAATATCATAAAAATAAAACTGAAAAAAACTGACCATGGCATCGCGTTTATACCACAATACATGCAGAAATTGGTGACTATGATGCAGAAAAACGGTATGTAACCAAGTGTTTTGTTTTCTAATGCAAAGTTTGGAGTAAGATCCGGAAACGAAGTGTATCCATTTGGCAAGATTAAAAATCCATATGCGCAAAGTGTCACGGCACTCAAAAGCAGCAGTGTCATCATTGTTAAGTACAGATATCGCTTTCCAGTGAAACGAATCAAACACAAAAATGAAATATTGCCCAGGTTATTGACATATGACAGCACAGCCGCCGCTTGATCAGGTTCCATTGGTACATTGTAGGCTTTCAAAATTTGTACAATATACGATGACATGCTGAAAGTTGACACAAATGATGATATAACGAACAGGATCATCACAATGGTAAACGGCTTGAGTGTTGGTTTTCGCTTTAATTCTTGAAGTCTTTCGTAGAATGTTGGCAATGGATGACTACATTTTAGATCTTTTTTGATACACACTTCGCACGACTTGTAACGTTCGCTGTAGCGTTGTAGCTCTTGGAACTCTTGATTCACCGATTCTTTGTGAACCCAGCCACGCAACCACCGAAGACTTTTCAATGCGTCTTCTTGGCGGTTTCTGGAAAGTAGCCAGAGTGGAGTTTCGGGCACTATACTAAGCGCGATTGTTGTAAATATTGGGACAATCATACAAACAAGACCCACCTTCGGAACAGAATAAAGAGAAAAGAATAAAATTGCTTTCTTTGTAATATAACGTAAAATAATCTACCATCCGCCAAGGCATCAATGTGTTCAAAGTGGCAACCAAAATCATTCCAAGTGACCAACCAACGTGTGTGTAAGCGACCATCACGCCTCTAAATGTCGGTTCGCTGATCGCATCGATAATTATAGCCATTATTTGTCATATCTAAATCGAATTTTATTTGAATTGAAGTAAAAATTTACCAAATTTCCCCAACATAAGTGATGATCGGTGATTCCATCAATCCTTAAAAAGTAAAATAGCGTGGTGTAACAAATGTAAGAGTGTAAAAATGGTCGAATTTCATAATCAGAAAGTTCAAAAGCACTCACCAGCACCTAGACCAAGTAAAATGCTGGCAATGAAAATATGAAAAGTGTTTGAGGCAGTATACATCATAAACCTTTAATTAAAATTAAAATCTCTATTATTAAAGACAATCAATTTTGATTTTGAAAAACACATTTTGTGACACTCCGTGTCAAACCTTGAAAAACGTTCGATTTTTTTTTCTTCATGGAATTAAGTTGAAAATGATTGATATTATAAAAAAACTCACCAGGCGATCACGAGTGGAACGTTCACGATCATCATCGCAAATTTTCGACCCAGTGCGTCTAAAAATTGGCGGAAGAAAAAAATGTGTGTTATCTTTCATTGAAGTCAATTCAGATATAATTTAATTGACATTTAATAAAAAAAAGTGCTTCATGTGCCTATACGAGGTGCGAAAACTTATCATTTATGCGTACCAGTGATAAGCGCTGAAAAAATACTTCCGCAAATTTCGAAAACAAACCCAATGCTTGCTAGTAATAAAAAAAAATCAAGAGACTCGTTTTAGTCAAAGTTTTTTTCTAATAATTTAGATTTTCAATCAAACCAATTCAATCAATCAGTCGAATAAATATTTTAGATGCATTTAAATTGGTTGATTTTGTTTAGTTTTTCAATTGAAATATTTACCCAACCAAGATGCCTCAACTGCCGTAACGGAGAGTGTTTCGTTTAAATTGTGTTTATTGGTTAGGCCGGTGAGAGCAGCTATAAAAAATAATAAAAATATAAAATAATAAATTAGAAAGACCTATTATTTAAACACGATTTAACTGACCTATGAAGGTCACTAACCTATTATTAAGAAGGGGAAAGCGTGACAACAGCCCATATCAAATAACAGCAAATTTTCGGCTGTTGTTGCGATAAACTATTCAAATGAACAAAATCAAATAGAATTCAATTTTTTACTGTTAAATCTGAAAAATATGACCTTGAGTCTGAAAGAATGTCATTTGGTCTGGCTCAGCCAGTCGTTCTTACATTCGGGTCGTTGTTTCAAAACAAAATCTCACCTGAGCGGCGAATCGCCGAAATTTGTCCACCTTTTCCCTCCCATCTCTCTTGCTTTGTTTCTCACTTTTTATATCGATCGACATTGTTCTCACTGTACAATGAAATAAACAGATTTATTACACAAAACTTGTTTATTGAATTAAAATCTCTATTATTAGAGCGTGAACAGCATTCCAGTTTATGAATTTGAATGATTGATGTGCGGCAAATTAGATTGATCACTATGTTGATTTGTTTAGAATGATAAAAGTTGGCTTTTAGTCTGGCGTTGAATGCCCAACAATGGATGGCATGACAATGAATCTTTGTTAAATCGGAAACGATTTTTTTTCTATTCTTTTGTTCGGTTTTGCGTTATCTGAAATTCCATTTTAATTGCATTTTTATCTGAAATATTTTCATTGCAGAACAATCTTGCACATCATGACATTTAAAACCGAACGCTTAGATACGTTTTAACGGCCATTTGATAAGATACATAGAAACATGTAAAAAAACATGTTAGGAAATTTGAACGTCAATCGTTTTATGGTCGCGGTTCGCCAAACCATAAACGTATGCAATAATTCCATATGGGATATTTGAAGAGAATAAATCGTAATTGAAATAAAGAGTCTTACGGGAGTAAGACGAACTTTTCCGCACGGTGGTAGTTGCGTATTTTATTAAGAAAGTTCAAAATAATATTTGCTCGATTCTTCAAGTCTTTCAAGCGGCGTAAAGTTCGAGACCAAAAAATATTTTTCAACTTTGGCAACGAAATATTCTTTAATTTAATAGCAGAAGTAGCCAAGAAAAGATTTTTCACACTTTCATGATGAACCCATTTGTACGACATTTGAAAGTATTCTATTTTCCAACAAAATACTATAAAAATATGTCTGACGTTAATTTTGCCATAAAGATTATTTTTGAAACACTTTTCATAACTAAAGTCACAACAAATTTGGATTTTTGTATGGGAGCCATGTCTGTATGCTACCTTAATGGCGTGAAACTTTGCACAGGTT